CTGATCTCAAAACTAGAACTGGATAGTGCATCTGCCATCACTGATCTCTAAACTAGAACTGGATAGTGCATCTGCTATCACTGATCTCAAACTTAGAACTGGATAGTACAATCACTGATCTGAAAACTAGAACTGGATAGTGCATCTGCTATCACTGATCTCAAACTTAGAACTGGATAGTACAATCACTGATCTCAAAACTAGAACTGGATAGTGCATCTGCCATCACTGATCTCTAAACTAGAACTGGATAGTGCATCTGCTATCACTGATCTCAAACTTAGAACTGGATAGTACAATCACTGATCTGAAAACTAGAACTGGATAGTGCATCTGCTATCACTGATCTCAAACTTAGAACTGGATAGTACAATCACTGATCTCAAAACTAGAACTGGATAGTGCATCTGCCATCACTGATCTCTAAACTAGAACTGGATAGTGCATCTGCTATCACTGATCTCAAACTTAGAACTGGATAGTACAATCACTGATCTGAAAACTAGAACTGGATAGTGCATCTGCTATCACTGATCTCAAACTTAGAACTGGATAGTACAATCACTGATCTCAAAACTAGAACTGGATAGTGCATCTGCCATCACTGATCTCTAAACTAGAACTGGATAGTGCATCTGCTATCACTGATCTCAAACTTAGAACTGGATAGTACAATCACTGATCTGAAAACTAGAACTGGATAGTGCATCTGCTATCACTGATCTCAAACTTAGAACTGGATAGTACAATCACTGATCTCAAAACTAGAACTGGATAGTGCAACTGCTATCACTGATCTCAAAACTAGTCTGGATTGCACTTTAGAGATCAGTCATACAACCCGACCTCAAAACTACAACTGGACAGTTCATCTCCTTTGTCGCATTGATCAGTGATTCTCCCGAAATCGGTTTGTTAAGGCCTGATTCCACGGGCGCTTTTTCTCGACGAAATGCGAAATATTTCGCCTGTTTCTTTTGAATTGTGGGCAATCAAGTAGAAATAATTTATTCGAGTAGTCGCAATTCAAAAGAAACAGGCGAAATATTTCGCATTTCGCCAAGAAAAAGCGCTCGTGGAATCAGGCCTTTACATGTTTACACAGCTAATTATTAGTGCGCATCGGAAATTTAATCTGGGAGATGAAACCCAAAGATGCGACTTCGAATCTCGTTTTGACACCTTGTACTGTACCCATAATTGGTCTGATTAAAGGCTTTCTGCATGCTAAGTTATATTTTCTCCCCATAAAAAAAACATTATACTGTACGTATGCTTGACACTAAGACAGATTCAAGTTCCTGTCTTAAGAACGTGTAGCTATAAACAGAAATAATTTACATATATGCAAAACGTTGTTCAAAGGAGCGAGCAATATTTCATGGCTGACTCGCTTCAAAGTGCAAAAATTTCCCACAAAGTACACCTCTGTTATTTTGCTTGTATGAAATCGCGTTTTGGACCTTTACATTTCTAAGTCTTTTGTATGTCGCTCATTAAGTCGCATCCTCCAGGACGAGAAAAATGGGCGACAAAATTGCTAGTGTGAATCAGGCTTTAGACAGAGTATAAAGCCGGTTACAAAAGAGCAAGTTTTCTTCTATGACAAGTTTTTATGTGGCAAGTTTTACCCCCTCTTCTGAAACATAGATATCTTATATACACTAGATAGCGCATCTCTTTTAATTTAGTAAAATTGAAGCCAAGAATATTGCAACGGTTACCCCCATTTAAATAGATGGCGGCCATGTTGGAGTTTCCCACTCGCTAACAATAACTTTCATCATTTGAATAGTTTGAAAATGTATTTGGAACAGGTTTACCTTAAAGTTTAAGTTCCCTGTTTAACATACGAGTCTTCTCATTTCATGGGAATATCCTGAGTCTGCAATCACGGCTTCAATTTTTGAATTGTAGAATAATTAGATGCACTATCTAGTGTATATAAGATATCTATGGTCTGAAAACGCAACTTTGGCGATTTTTACTGTGACAATTAAGTACACTCGTTTTAAACCGGGCGGCTTTAGACAGAGTAGAAAGACAGCATTTCGTTTGACTTTCACGCACATCAGAGTTTAAAACTGCCGAATAAAAACCCTTTTGAGAGGCAAACTTAGAAGTTGATCTTAAAACGTTTTCATGCATAACATCTGCAACAACAGCTCAGCAGCAGGAGGAATAATTCATTAACTCTGCTTGTTCAATTATGCAAATATTTGCTCAAATGCATATATTACAAGCAAATGAGTGTCGCATTACCAGTCAAGCAAGTACAGTATCTTTTGGATATCAAGTTTCAGCTGTGAAGTCATGAAATAGCCGGTAAAATTTAAGCTATAAACTGTTACAAAAGTACATACATACATACATACAATATTACACATCGCGCCAACCAACCGATTAAATATGGAGTCGTGGACTAAATTAAAACAGTTTATACAATCTACGCCGCTTTTTAATAGAGCGAGATCAGACGAGACGAAAGCAAAGCCAACTCAGGAACATGTCAAGTATAAACATATCTCGGATGACGACGACGCTACGGATTTGAGAGCTGATCTTTTCAAGTCTCGCTCGATCGATGATATTCTAGACGACATAGGCTTGAGATTATTTCATTTGAAAGTGATCCTAATACTTGGCTTACTAAACATCACAGATTCTCTAGAAGTTTCCATGTTATCTGTCGTACTTCCGACTATAAAATCACACTGGAATATCTCGTCGTTCCTAGCTGGAGTCTTAACCATCTCAATATCAGCAGGAATGATAGTAGGCTCTTGGTTTTGGGGCTGGGTATGCGACAAATACGGACGAAAACGTGGTTTTATTGGCAGTGCCATTTTTATAGTGGTTTTCGCATTTGCAAGTGCGTTTTCACCAAACTATTACTGGTTATGGATAAGTCTTTTCTTGGTCGGGTTTGGGATAGCAACCATATTTGAGGTTTATGTTATGACTATGGAATTATTCCCACCAAAACATCGAACTATGTTTTCAGTATTAAACTCCGCATTCTGGACATTAGGCTTTCTACTTTCAGCAGTTGTCTCTACTGAGCTTTCAGTAATCGGTTATCGTTGGGCTTTAGCTATCGTGTGTTTTCCAACCGCACTTTTCCTTATTGGTATTGTATTTCTCCCTGACACGCCACATTACCACCTAGCTGCCGGAGACGAGCAGAAAGCTTTGGATATTTTACAAAATTGCGCACCAGAAATGGACTTGAGCAACACGAAACTCAACCGAGATCACGAGTCAAAGAGGGCGGATATCACACAGCTATTTCGATCAGGTTATTGGAAAATCACAATATGCGCTTGTATAGTCACTTTCACTACGGTAATGGCGTATTACGCTTTAGTATACAACGCCTCTGACGTTGCCAGCTTTGAAAATGCCACGTCTACGGTAAAGGGCCCAGAAAATTATATACTAGGTAGTTCGAGTGGTGATTTGTATTCCATAATGGCTTGGATGAATTTGCCTGAGTTGGTGATAATAATTACAGTTGCTGTAGGCTGTTATATTTTTACAGTGAAAAATGTGGTAATAACCCTATTTGTCCTGCCAATAATACTACAAATCGTTGCCTTTTTTGTCCTAAACGAAAGGACTGCATTACTTGTAGTCACGATGCTATCTCGAAGTCTAGTGATGGCATTAGTTTCTGTGTTTTACATTTATGCTTCGCTGCTCTACCCGACTGAAAACCGTAGCATCGGCGTTGGAGCTTGCGTTTCTATGGGCCGTGTTGGGATGGTCCTCGGACCATTCATATTCGTGACACTCTTTGAACGAGCGTATATCTACGGAATTGTGTTTAATATTGGCATGCTATTGTTAGGATTTATAGCAACTGCTTTGTTGCCTTCACGAAGTACCGCTACTTTAAGTTGAACTGGAACATTGAAATATTATGCGTGCATGCATCGTTGGGTCACATGTACCTGACCCCTCGTAAGTTAGCACTGTATCGCACTGTCCTTGGAAAGCCACAAATTTAGCACATGTAACTCGTTGCCGTTATCGCTGTTGTTACTGTTATTGTTGTACGTTGTAGTGATTTTTACACCCGCCATTTTGCTTCGCGCGAATATGCATTTGAATTCAATTCCTTTGGCCTCCATTTGGATAGCATGAGCTACGATAAAGGCTGGCCTTGCACTTTCAAAGTTCCTGCGATCACAGTAGGAATTTTGCACGGACAAATTCTAAGTTTTGAGGAATTTGTAAGAAATGTTTTGAGGGAACTGAACCGGTGTTTAACACTGAATCAGTTCCCTGAAACATTTCTTACAGATCCTTCAAAACTTAAAATTTACCTATGCAAAATTCCTACTGTGATCACAGAAACTTTGATAGCGTAAACCAGCTGTAGGATACGATTAAGATTTTGACAAATGGAATTTAATGAAAACCAAACCGTGCAATGGAACAAAACGTATGGTACACAAATGCACGTGATCATAATCAGCCAATTAAATGACCATGATTTAATAAGGCGTTATTACTTATAATAAATTGCACTAAGACGGGCCATCCGTCTCTAAAGTTAATTCAGTGAGCAAAAAAATAAAATAAATAAAAAATTACCTTAATCGTTTTTCTTCTTCTGTTTTGAACTTTTCAAGTCTTTGTAGTTCTTCTGTTTTGTAATTTTCAAATAAATCTCTTTCTTTTTGTAGTTCTTGCAGATCCTAAAGTGATAACGATTTATCTATTAAAGCCAGGTTCACACAAGCAATTCTGAAGGAGATTTTGCTGCTCCTGGCAAATTTATTTATTTATTTATTTACTTTGCCATCATACTTATACATTCATTGGCTGGGAAACCACAACAGCTATTGCCAATTACAGCGGCCCCAATAGTTATACAGAAACAATTTATAAGGTATACTAAACACACACAACAGACAATACTTGAACAACAGTCATTACATTTGTCTAAAAGCAGCATGTCAATGGAGAAATTGTGAAATGAGAAATTGAAAAAAAAAAAAAAAAATTGTGAATTGAGAAATTTTTTTGTGTCAAATGTGATCGAACGAATGACATGCAAAAGACTTACGCCCGTATTCTAAAAGCTCACTCACACTCAACGAGTGGAGGTTCAATTGGAGCTTTTCTCGAGTGTCATTTCTGTTTTTGAACAGCTGGAGGGTTAGTGCCGTACCGTACTATGTGATTACTCACCCTCCAGCTATTCAAAAACAGCATTGACACTCAAGGGAAGCTCAGATTGAACCTCCACTCATTGAGTGTGAGTGTGAGTGAGCTTTTAGAATACGGGCGTTAGAATTGTTTACTTCTGAAAAACGACTCTATACTTTTGTGTGCCGCGAGTTCACTCATTTGCATCCGTCAGAAACACAAAATCGCCGACAAAATTGCTGGTGTGAACCAGACTTAAGCCTCGAACAGACGAGCAAGACTTCCTTAACAGGACACTTTTTTCCTTGCCAAAGAGCCTTGTTCCAAAGCTAGTCATGGAGGGAGATCTTCAAAACAATGAAAAGATGGTAAATACTATTTCGCCAACCTCAGAATGACATTTCGTCAAAACTTTTCTTCAAGATTGGTTTAGAAACAAATTTGGCATAGGGTTAGGCTAGGGTAAGGATTAAGGTTAGGGTTAGAGTTGGTGTTTGGAATAGGGTTAGTGTTAGTAAAACCGTTGCTTTGTTACGTTTTGTCACTTTGAGACCAGCGAAATAATCTCTTCCTGAAAAGATACACTCCGATCACTGGATCATGACTGGATAGCACTATTGTTATTTGCAAGGCCCAATATAAATATTAATGTAGTTTCCATACCTTTTCTCTCTCCTCCCTCAATCTATGAAGAGCGACATTCTCTTCTCGGAATTTTTCAATTTCGTTCTCTAACTCCTGCAGTTTGTCTCGAACAGCATTGCTCATTCCAGAGCTGAGTCCAGAATTCAGGCCAGAGTTCAACCCACCGTCTGTTCCACTTGAGACATCCAGCCTGACAGTTGTCTCTGTCGCAGGTAGTGCAGGCTGGATCTGTTGTGATGGCGGGTGCTTTTGGTTGACTTGAGAGCGACTGGTCTTGAAATAAGGACAAAATATAAAACGTTGGTTACAGGTTCCATAACAGAAAGGTTCAGATTTAACTCCCGCTACTGCTACCATTAAGGGACCATTAACCAATCAGATGCGTTTGATATATTCGATTAACCAATCAGATGCGTTTGATATATTCGATTAACCAATCAGATGCGTTTGATACATCCGATTAACCAATCAGATGCATTTGCTATATCCGATTAACCAATCAGATGCGTACTAAGCCAGTGAGAGGTAGTGGTAGTGGAAGTCAAATCTAAACCTCTCTATTATGTTTTATAGGGTAAGTAGGTCGGAAACATTTTTTTATAAACATTTTATTATAAAAATTGAGTACCTCATTCTTCGCTTTCAACTGAGGGAATAATTTCGTCACAAACGCGGATGTAGGCGGAGTGGAGGAACTGGTGGCCAACTTTCTGTTCTGATCATGCGCACGTCTCCTCTTCTCGTCAGGTGTTGACGTGTTTAGTGCATTTATGACGTCGTCGGTGACGTCACTGATATCCAAGGCATCATGGTCGTCCCAGGTTTTTGTATCGTCAAAACCATCGGAGAGCGCGAGCGAAGACCGAACACTGATCACTGGAAAAAAAGATGGGGGGTGAAAAAATAAGACACTGGACTCAACTGGACTCAGTTTACGGCAGACCGCAAATGACAAACTTCAAATCGTATTCTGAGGCCAACAGTCAGCTGTTCAAAGTTAGGGCAATTTGAGGATTAAAACTGAAACATGAGTTAGTAATTTAGCCGTCAAAACTTGTAGAACCGTTTGTGGAAAACATCAGTCTTGACGTCTCTGGTCTAAGCCTATTATGCTTCACGTCAGCAAGTACGTAAGTAAGTAGGTGCTAAAGTGGTCTGGGTGTATGCCCCCTCCCCTGAAACCTACATTTCCCGAAATGCCATTTCCTGAATTTTGGGAGATGATTTTACAGAGTTCTGACAGCGATGTATATTCTTCTATAATCCCTCCCCCCCCCCCCTGGGGTGGGGGAAAAGAATCAAAGGGTCTTAGGGTTGGGGAAGAAAATCAAAGAAGAGTAGAAAAAATGGAAAGCAGAGGGAAAAGAAGAGAAAAATTTCCGTGGGTAATTCGTGAAAATCAGTGTTTCCACTTTCCAAAATGATTTTGCCACCGAGCTGAATTAATTACTGTATTAATGTTGATTGTTCATGTTAATGGAAAGTAACTTAAATATGAAAAAATTTACTGAGGATTGCAAATTTAGTAAATAATAACTTATAACTAGCTAATTTATAATTTAGGTATTTTATTCTATCTTGGGGGGAGGGGACAAATATACTATGTCACAGTATTACTATTAGGTACAGGCCTTTGAGGCTGATGTGGTAAAGATATGGGGAAAAGAATCAAATCTGAAAGGGGAAGAACCAAAGTTCATTGAAGAATGTACACCCCTGAGTTCTGAAGATTACAAAACGTCCCATAAAATGCGCAAGCCTGACCAGCTTAGAATCTGAAGAGTAAAGTAGAGGAGATGAAAAGAAGAAAATATTTTACTGTTTATTGCTTATGTTTTGTTTATATAAATTTTGTTGAGACAAAAGCAGGCGGCTGCAGATAGGCAAGTAGCCGCCGGGTCATTTTGGCTGGCTAGGTAGGTAGGTGAAACTTGGTAAAATATGAACTTAGACAAAAAGATGTTAAAAAATGTGTTGAACGTTCTAACTTTGCTAACCAGAGTCATTTTCACTTTATATTTAAGAGCCATTTTTACTTTATATTTTCACTTTATTTTTTTATTTAGTTCACACGTACGATACCGACAGAGTTTGAAAACGGAACGAAATTCTTACGTTTAGGGGTTGCGTTCACACGATGCTGGTATGAAAAAATGTGAAACCGTAACGCTAACTCGAGTTTGAAAAGGTATGCAAACTCCGTTACTCCGTAAGAGTTTGAAAACGGAACGAAATCCTACCGTCAGAGTGCCGTGTGAACGCCTAACGGGTTAGGGTAAGAATTTCATTACGGTTATGCAAAATGAAATTAAACAAAACTGCAAAAGTTGTTGTTGGATATTTTATTCTGTCTATTTTAACTGATTTGTGCAGCATATTGTCAAAGCGGAATATAATCTGCCGGTATCGTGTGAACAGTTGAAACCGTGATGATTTTCTGCCGGTAGATTTCCATGCCGGTATCGTGTGAACGGGGTCTAAATTATAACTTTAACATTAGTAAGTTATTTCCTTCGTTTGTCACATGAAATCAATAGACCATTCTGATATTAATTTATCTGCGAACCCAGACGTCATCTCCCACGCTCGTTACTTTCCGAGCGAAGAATGAGCAGCAGGCAGGCAAAACTTTATTTAAAATTAACAAAAAGGAACACGCTAGCCCCATCAACTCTGGGCTGATTTCCATGAGGGGCGTGTTAAATATTAAAAATGTTTGAAAATAAATAAATAAATAAATAACTATATCTAAATACTATATATACACACTTTTCTATATACAAATGTATGCATGTCACTAATCAACATTTAATCTAAACGAGTGAAGCGAACTTGCTAGTTTCGCTTCATTTGGGAGCTGATTCCAGTGCAAAGCACCACTATATTTAAAGCCTTTTTTTTAAAAATTCTCTTTTTGGCTTAGGTAATGTATGGTCTGTTGCAGTATTGCGGAGATTGTAATTAGTTTGATCCATTTCTCTTCCCACAAAAGACCCCCGAAGAGCCGGGGGTTAAGTATTTTATACATCAATACTGACTTGGCACCGGAACGTCTATTTTCAAAGAGTGTCCCACGAGAGTAAGTTAAGAACATCAGCCGACCGAGACTCGAGCAGCGTGGGAATGACGTCTGGGTTGGCGGACTAGATATTAATATGCTAATAACAAAACTGTAAAATAAGAACAGTGCAGATTTATACTATATAAGGTCATGATAAAACCACAGGAGACCCAAGCTCTATTTGCCCGCGCCCGCCTGTGGACTAAAGTCGTAATAAATTGAACAACGGCGTAATAAATTGAACAACGGCATAATTCATGTTTGGCGGCAGCAATGTTTATTTATAAATGTCGAGCGAGGTACTGGATCCAAATGTACTGATTTTCGTGCAAAATTCGCTGGTGTTTCGCAGAGCCTCAACAAGCCGCCACAGAAGATTGCAGGCTCAGGGTTCGAGATTGGTATGTATGTTAATTTTACACTATGTATGCAAATCACGCGATTTTAGCAATACACGCCTACGTTTGGCGGAATTTGTTTTACTGTCAGATTGAACGAGTCGACCAATCAATCAAGGGTAAAATTGCAGTGTAAACACAAATTCAGCATACAAAACATTATAGAATTTCTTGTTGTTCCGTGTCTGAAAACGAAAGCGGAAAGTAGAGTTATAAAATTTTGTCCGTTGTGAACAATGCCAAACGAACGACAATGTGAACTATGAACTCTTGTGCTTTTGTGGTTTTACATCTTTGACGTTTCGGCTGGATTATTGTTGGATAAAATTTGTAAATAATGGCGTGCAGTAAATACGAGGTTGGGTATGAAGACAATCGCTTCGAGATCGAAGTCAGTCAAAGATTTCACTGCCCCATTTGTTTCCTGGTCCTTAAAGATCCCGTAATGTGCAAGAACGAACACTGCTACTGTAGTTCATGTATAAAGAAGCACTTGGAAAACTCGGCATCCTGCCCGACGTGTCGTGAACACCTCAGTGTCGATACACTAAGGCCAGCTTCGAGGATCGTCAGTGATTATATATCTGAGCTGAATATTCATTGCGATTTCTACCCCAGAGGATGCCGTGAAATAGTTCAAGTTGAAAATCTCAAACGTCACGTTGTAAGTTGTGGATTCTCTCCCGTGCAATGTTCCAATGAGGGATGTGATGCTGTCGTGAATGCCAGAGACAAGCTTCACCACGAAGCGGAAACATGTGATCTTAGGAAATTGAAATGTCACGACTGCGCTGACGTGAAAGATTTGCTGTTTCAGATGTTAGCTGGTCAACATCATATGAAAGATGAAATCAAAGCGGAATTGAAAAGAGGAATGAATGAAGTAAAAAATGAAATGAAAGCGATGAAAAATGAAATAAAGCAAGAAACGAAAGGAGTAAAAAGTGGAATGAAAGGAATGAAAGATGAGATGAACGGAATGAAAGAAGGAATTAATGAGGAAGTGAAAGTAGTTATGAGTGAAATGAAAGAGGAAATTAAGAATGAAGTGAAAGGTAAAATGGAAGAAGTAAAAAATGAAACGAAAGTAATGAAAAATGAAATTAAAGTGGAAATGAAAGGAGAAATGAATACAATGAGAGAGGAAATTAAAAACGAAATGAAAGGAATGAAAGAGGAAATTAAAGTGGAAGTGAATGTGATGAAAGTTGTTGTACAATTTGAAGTGAGTAGTAAAATGAGTGAAATGAGAGAGGAAATTAACAATGGAATGAAAGGAATGAACGAAGGAATTAAAGTGAAAGTGATGGGAGAAATGAATGAACAGAGAGAGGAAATTAAGAATGGATTGAAAGGAATGAAAGAGGAGATTAAAGTGGAAGTCAAAGGAGAAATGAAAGAAGTAAAAAATGAGATTAAAGCAGTGAAAAATGAAATAAAGCAAGAAACGAAAGGAATAAAAAATGGGATGAAAGCCACGAAAGATGAAATGAAAGGAATGAAAGAGGAAATTAAAGTGGAAGTGAAAGGAGAAATGAAAGAAGTAAAAAATGAAATGAAAGCAATGAAAAATGAAATGAAACAAGAAACGAAAGGAATAAAAAGTGGAATGAATGGAATGAAAGCAGAAATAAAAAATGAAATAAAGGAAATAGTTACAAACGCAAAAAAATATGTAATGGTCGAAAGTAAAGATTTGAAAGCCGAGGGAAAATATGGAGAGCAAAGTCCTCAGACAACATCCTCGCCAGCTAAAACAACAAGTATAATTATTGCTGGAGGAGAGCATGAAAAAGATGGTCAGCAAGTATGTAACACATCTGTACAGATGTTTGACTGGCCAACGCAATCATGGAAAAAGCTTAATCCATTATTGAAAGGTCGTTCCAAAGCCAGCTCATTTAAGTATAAAGGTCACATAACCGTGGTTGGAGGCTCAAGTAACTCTGGCTCTACAGATACTATAGAAAGTTTGAATGTTGCAGATCCAGCTGCCTTGTGGAAAGATTCTGTTCTTAAGATTCCTGTTGAATGCTCTGGTCATAAAGTTGTCAATTATAATGATCAGCTTATCATGTCTGGAGGATGGACTATACCTACTGAAGGAGGGCTGTCCACGCGTTCCGATGCTGTGTACGAGGTGAACTTGGTTCCACCGTATTCCAGTAAGATTTTGGCAAGATTGCCGCAACCAAGATGTTATCATGGCATGGAAATCTTTGATCAGAAATTGTTCATTCTTGGAGGAGTCGATGGCGATAAGAAAACAAAGAGTGTGGTGCAGTATGATCTCATCAAGAATGAATGTAAAGAAATGCCTCCATTGCCACATGCTGTGAAATTCATTGCGACTGTTTTATGGCGGAACAACGTGCTTGTGATCGGTGGCATAGATCCACTTGGTGTCTCAAATTCCGTGCTAATGTATGACGTCACTACAGGACGTGCTCACGTGTTGCCATGTATGAAACGTAAGCGATATGGTTGTACAGCGGTCTTAAATGGCAATGTTGTAGTGGTAATGGGCGGACGAAATGGTGAACATCAACGACTCAAGTCAGTGGAGTGCCTTGATCTAGAAAGTCAAGTTTGGCAAGACATGCCCGATATGTTAATAGAAAGAGCTTTCGCTACCGCTGTTACGGTTGAAGCGACATGACTTTCGCTGGACAACGAGTGATTTGCTGGATAAAAATGATAAATTCTATAACATTGACTTGCTTTGGAACATTATCTTACAGGCCAACAGTATCTTAAAGCCTCGGTCAAACGATGATGAGAGTTGATGGGAGTTGGCAGTCACGCTGACTCACACATTGTTACAGCGGACATTTCAAGCTCTAGATTAACGAAATAAAGGTTTGAAGAGTGTTCCAACTATGTTTTAACTTAAATAGAACACATGACAGTGTTGGGAAAGCATTAAGAACAGTTAGCTGAGGTCACGAGACTGTCAACTCTCATACACTTTCATTCTCTTTTGATCCGGGCTGAAAACACTATCTACAGATCAAGTTAATAGTGGGTAACATTGGAAGATATACTGTAATTTATAATCAGTTTGGTGCACGAAACGTTATAGTCACAGATTGTGCGATCTTTTACCACTAAAAAAACTACTGTCAGGTTAACCTCTAGCCTGTGCGCAGAATATTTTCAAATAACTTTCAAAAAAGATTTAAAACTTCATAACAATGTATTTTCTGCAATAAAAAGGTAGGTCACCGTGGTTATTTGTCCGCTAAGACGGCTTTTTTGGTTGATATAGGCCATATAGATGGTGACGTCATGTTGTCATGGTAACATAAAGAGTAGCGATTGTGGGTTAAAATTACTTTTTTATATAAGAGGAAACAATGACTTGTGCAAAAAATTAGTTTTTTTAGATTCAAATAGCTTTTAGTTTAGAACACTGCATGATATATATTGGAAACTGTAGGGAGCCTCCTTAAATAACTTTAAACCCAAAATATCGGCAATATTGAAGCGTCATTGTTGCCATAGCAACTGCAGTTGCAATTCCTTTTTTTCGAAAAAATCCAACTATATAGTTATATTTTTCTGATCGGACTTCCTTTGTCTTTTAATAAATAGGAATTGTTGAAAAATTGGGTCTAAATCGGAGATCTTCCATTTTCTAGTAAACTGTAGGGAGCCACCTGAAGTTTTGTTTATGTAAATTTTGTTGAGACAAAAGTATGCGGCCGCAGATGGCAAGAAGCCAGTCGTTTTGGCGGCTACCTGCCCCTATTAAAGATGGGTTTAACGTTTTAACTTTGCGATCCAGCGATTCACTTGTGTGTACGTATGTTGATTTTACATTATAATACCCCAGCAAACACGAAATTTTAGTGTGCAAATCACGAGTTTCTAGCCGTGTTTATAATACAAGCCTACGCTTGGCTTTGACGCAATTTGTTTTACCATAATTGGCAGATTGAACGAGTCAGCCAACCAATGAAGCAAACGTCAAAGGTAAATTTGCAGTGTAAACACACTTTCAGCATACAAAGTCATAGAATTTCTTGTTGTTCCGTGTCTGAAAACGAAAGCTGAGTAATAAAATTTTGTCCGTTGCTCAACACACAAACGGGCGATAATGTGAACTTATAAGATCTTCTACCTTTGTGGTTTTATATCTTTGACGTTACGGCCGGATTATTGTTGGATAAAATTTCGAAATTATGGCGTGCAGTAAATACGAGGTTGGCTATGAAGACAATCGCTTCGAGATCGAAGTCAGTCAAAGATTTCACTGCCCCATTTGTTTGTTGGTCCTTAAAGATCCCGTAATGTGCAAGAACGAACACTACTGCTGTAGTTCATGTATAAAGAAGCATTTGGAAAAATCAACATCGTGTCCGACGTGTCGTGAACACCTCAGTGTCGATACACTAAGGCCAGCTTCGAGGATCGTCAGTGATTATATATCTGAGCTGAATATTCATTGTGATTTCTACCCCAGAGGATGCCGTGAAATAGTTCAAGTTGAAAATCTCAAACGTCACGTTGTAAGTTGTGGATTCTCTCCCGTGCAATGTTCCAATGAGGGATGTGATGCTGTCGTGAATGCCAGAGACAAGCTTCACCACGAAGCGGAAGTATGTGATCTTAGGAAATTGAAATGTCACGACTGCGCGGACGTGAAAGATTTGCTGTTTCAGATGTTAGCTGGTCAACATCAGATGAAAGATGAAATCAAAGCGGAATTGAAGAATGAAATAAAAGGAATGAGAGAGGAAATTACAGTGGAATTGAAAAGAGAAATGGAAGCAGTGAAAGATGGAATGAAGCAAGAAACGAAAGAAATAAAAAATGGGATGAGAGAAATGAAAGATGAAATTAAAGTGGAAGTAAAATGTGAAATAAATGGAATTAAAAATGAAATGAAAGCAATGAGAGATGGAATGACGAAAGAAATAAAAAATGGGATGAGAGAAATGAAAGATGAAATTAAAGTGGAAGTAAAATGTGAAATAAATGGAATTAAAAATGAAGTGAAAGCAATGAAAGATGGAATGAAGCAAGAAACGAAAGGAATAAAAAATGGAATGAGAGGAATGAAAGACGAAATTAAAGTGGAAATGGCAGGAGATATGAGTAGAATGAAAGAGGAAATAAAAAACGGAATGAAAGAGGAAATTAATACAATGAGAGAGGAAATTAAAGTCGAAGTGAATTTGATGAAAGTTCTTGTGCAATTTGAAGTGAGTAGTAAAATAAATGAAATAAGAGAGGAAATTAACAATGGAATGAAAGGAATGAATGAGGAAATTAAACTGAAAATAAAAGGAGAAGTGGATGAAACGAGAAAAGGAATGAGAAATGAATTGAAAGTAATGAAAGAGGAGATTAAAGTGGAAGTGAAAAGAGAAATGAAAGAAGTAAAAAATGAGATGAAAGCTATGAAGAATGAAATAAAGCAAGAAACGAAAGGAATAAAAAGTGGAATAACAGAAGTGAAAGATGAAATTAAAGAAATGAAAGAAGAAATTATATTGGAAGACGAAATGGATGAAATGGGAGAAGAAATTAACAATGAAATGAAAGGAAAGAATGTGGAAATTGAAGTGGAAAGAGTAATGAATGAAACGAAAGAGAAAATTCAGAATGAAATGAAAGAAATGAAAGAAGAGATTAAACTGGAAGTTAAAAGTGAAATAAAAGACGTAAAGTATGAACTGAAAAACATAAAAAATGAAATGCACCAAGAAGCAAAACTAATAAAAAGTGGGCTGAAAGGAATGAAAGAAGAGATGACAAGAGAATTACAGAAGACGAAAGACGAAATACAAGTGGAAATTAAAAAGGAAATAAAAGACGTGAACATTGAAGTGAAAGCAATGCAAGAAGAAAGTGAAGACGAAAGAAACAAAAATTTAAATGAATAAAATGAAAGAGAAAATTAATGAGATGAAAGAGAATTTGTTGTTGTAGAATTTGAAGCAAAAGATAAAAGAATATTAACAATGAAATAAAGGAATGAAAGAGGAAATTAAAGTAGAACTGAAAGGAGAAATTAATCGAATGAGAGAAGATATAAAACAATATAAATGCATGAAATATACAAAGTCCTCAGGCGACATCGTTGAATAATTGCTAGGTCCCAGTCTCTATTTGAAAGAAAAATTGCTGCTAATGTTACTAAATAATATATTTATATATAAATCCTTTATTGTAAATTGTTATCTACATGTTTTGTTAGTTGTCTATATTGTCAATTTTGTCAATTGGAACAGTTAGATTATTTCGATTTTCTTTTATTTGATTCCATAAGAGTCATAACAACATTTATGATAATAACTTTTGAACACACGCCCTTCGTGGAAATCAATATTTTTATTGACGTAGTTAGTGTGTCAAAATAAAATAAATCTATCTATCTAGAGTAAACTGAATGGGCAATGATTAGCCCGTTGTATGACAGGGAGCCATCCCGGGTCTTATTGAAGCTATGTATTAGCATCACATATGAAATATATAGCTCAGTGTTGAAGCCTGCGATTTGCGGGCTGGGTGCGGGCTAACGCGCGCGTTAAATACGAAACCACAACAGGCTTCCGGGAAAAAGTAAAAAAGTTCATGATCCGGCAATCACGAGATTTTAGGTTATAAGCCCATGTTACGAGTCACGAAATATATTATAATAATTAATTACTATGCAAGCATAAATTAACTATACCCAAATATAGTAGTATGCAAAGACAATATCGAATATCGGCTGTGGCGAATTTGTAAACGAAAGCCAAGTAATAATATTTTGTCTGCTATTAAACACGCCAAAAGAACGATAAAGTGAACAGCTGTTGTACTTATCTGGTTTCAAATGTTCAAAGTTTTTGGGTTGAATACTGTTGAATAAAACATCTGATTTTACATACTCAACATTGTTGCTTTTGAGTATTGTTGACTAAAACATCGACATTATGGCGTGCAGTAAATACGAAGTTGGCTATGAAGACAATCGCTTCGAGATTGTCGTCAGTCAAAGATTTCACTGCCCCATTTGTTTCCTGGTCCTTAAAGATCCCGTAATGTGCAAGAATCAACACTATTACTGTAGTTCATGTATCAAGAAGCATTTGGAAAACTCAACATCATGCCCGTCGTGTCTTGAACGCCTCAGTGTTGACACACTGAACGAAGCTCCGAGGATCGTCAAGGACTATATATCTGAGCTGAATATTCATTGTGATTTCTACCCCAGAGGATGCCCTGAAATGGTTCAAGTTGCCAATCTGAAACGTCACGTTGCAACTTGTGGCTTCTCTCCCGTGCAATGTGCGAATGAAGGATGTGATGCTGTCGTGGATGCCAGAGACAAGCTTCACCATGAAGCAGAAGCATGTGATTTTAATAGAAAATTGGAATGCCGTGACACCAGTCAACCGATGAAGGAAGTGAAAGATTTGCTGCGTCAGTTGTTAGCTCGGCAAGACCAGATGAAAAATGAAATTAAAGCGGAATTGAAGAATGAAATGAAAGGAATGAGAGAGGAAATTAAAGTGGAAGTGAAAAGAAAAGTGAATGAAATGAAAGAGGAATTGCAAAATGAAATGAAAGAGGGAATTAAAGCGGAATTGATGGGAGAAATGAAAGAAGTAAAAAGTGAGATGAAAGTGATGAAAAATGAAATAAAGCAAGAAACGAAAGGAATAAAAAGTGGGATGAAAGGAATGAAAGATGAGGTGAACGGAATGAAAGAAGGAATTAATGAGGAAGTGAAAGTAGTAATGAATGAAATGAAAGAGGAGATTAAGAATGTAGTGAAAGGTGAAATGAAAGAAGTGAAAGGTGAAATGAAAGAAGTGAAAGGTGAAATGAAAGCAATGAAAAATGACATAAAGCAAGAAATGACAGGAATAAAAAGTGGAATGAAAGCAATGAAAGGAGAGATGAAACAAGAAACGAATGGGATAAAAAATGGAATGAAAGCCATGAAAAATGATTTAAAAAATGAAATGGGTGCAACGAAAAGTGGAATAAAGGGAATGAAAGATGGAATGACAGGAATGAAAGAGGAAATCAAAGTGGATATCATAGGAAAATTAGATGTGATGAAAGAGGAAATACAAGTGGGAAGCATAGAAGTGGCAAAGGAAATGGACCAAGAAATGAAAAATGAAATGAATGAGATAAAAGAGAAAGTGAATGAGTTGAAAGATGTGGAAGTTGAGGTGAAAGGAGTAATGAATGAAACGAGAGAGAAATTTAGGAATGAAATGGAAGAAATTAAAGTGGAAGTGAAAGTTGAAATGAATGGAATAAGAGATGGAATGAAAAATGAAATGAAGGAAATGAAAGAGGAAATTAAAGTGGAAGTGAAAGAAGAAATGAATACAATGAAAGCAGAAATGAAAAATGAAATAAAGGAAACAGTTATGAATGCAACACAAATTATGATAGTGGAAATTAAAGATTTCATTGGTTAAACAGAATGATGAAAGTCTGCAAAGGACATCTTCTGAACATACAAGAACTAGCAAACATGTGCATAGGTAGTTGATATTGTGGTTATGTTAAAGAGTAAATGGGGGTTTTTTCCACATTATTTGAGTGTCTGATTGCTTTTCCAATTTTAAATGTTTTATTATAATTACCAAATACTAATGTTATTATTAGAAGTTTGCATCTAAATTCAGAATTTGTTTATTCAATCAAAATGTCAAATTCAATTAATATTAGGTATTTAATATCAGTGCAGTCTTGAATTTTGAAGTATTGTAATTTATTTTTTTGCACCCATCCGCCCTGCACCCTATTTGCATTGGCCAACAGAGGTATGCACCCCCTCCCCCATCCTACCACTTTCCCTTATTACCAATAGGTAGTAATACTCATTACCCCCCTGTTAATCTGCCTTACCTTCAGGTTCTTTTAATGTATCATCTCCATCATCATTCAGGTTTTCTTCAATCAGCGTACGGTTAGCAACATTGTCTACTTCAGCTGCATCTGGTAAAACATGAGTGCTTTAGGACATGTTTATGGGAAGCGGGAAGGGACAGGCAATACGCTTGAGAACAACGACAGGGCCGGCTTTCCATGACAGTATTCTCGTTTCCCTTCGCCGCTTCATATTATCCTTCTATTGTCTGAAGATATGCGATTTGCCGGTGAAGAAATGAGAATAAAGTTTGATCCTATAATATTTAGCAACCGCGATTTAATTAGAGTGTCTTAGAGTGATACCTTTTGGTGCAACGTTCCATTTCTGGCGAGCTCCTAGCATATTGTTGTTTACATCGGCTCGACGTTGTCCTTGGTTTTTACCCAGAAATCTTAACACGGTTGAGGAGTTTGACGAAAGTGAACAGTTGGCGGCAGCGGCTTCCTCCAGGAGTTCGAACTCATTTAATTCTCGTTTTTCGACCTGAATGTAAATATAGATATTTTAAACGATTGCTTGGAGGTTTAATTGTAGACAGTAGATGACAGGTTTAATTTTTATGTCCTTTAATTTTTCTACCGTAGTTTTTACCAAGTAGATAAAACTACTTTTACCAAGGACATTACACTTCTCCGCTGGGGACGTTTAATAGTACAAATACTTTACATATTCATATCAGATCTGGGCCTTGGTTTCTTAGGACAGTTCAAAATGAGCATTTTAATTAAAACATAAAGTATGTACTCCATATACGTTTTTTATCAAAGTTTAATTCTTGGGGGGCTCAGGTCTCGTGTGGAATTGCGCAAACAATGAGCTTAGATTTTGATGTTGATCGACCAAGAACTTGGAAATCTTTGTCTACAAAGTGCCGTTCCTTTTACATTACTTGTTGTTCGTAAACGTGTAAACTGTAAAAATTAGTATAAAACTTTTGTTAAGACCAAAAGAAAACGTGTAAACTGTAAAAATTAGTATAAAACTTTTGTTAAGACCAAAAGACGGCAGTAGTTAGATAAAGTGTTAAGTTGTAAATGTAAAGGTTATGCATGTTAGTAGAAATAGTTTTGGTGGGACTTAACTGGATCTTATTTAAGATCTATTGCAAAGTTAATAAAAAAAAACCCAAAAAACAATGATTAAACAGTTGAACACTTTGATATGCACATTTTAATGCTTTCAGTCTCAGTGACTACATGTAACGCATTTGGATGCGCATATAGGAAACTCTGAAGTTTCTTATAACTAATATTTCTGCGACTGTTCATCCTTAGATGTCAACAACGGTATACTTACTACTTCCAGCTCGTCCCATTTCTTCATTCGTACTTGAAACGAGTCTTCAATAATCCCTTCACTCCCCCTAACAATATCCCCGCCTTCTTCGATCTCTCCGTCCTCTGAACTGCTTTCTGAGTCTTCCTCTGACACATCCTCCATGTATACACCATGCGAGTGCCTGGTATTAAACTGTACTTTCTTGGGAGAGAACGGTTGTTTCTCCTGGTCAGATTCGTGCGAAAGGCTTTGCCTTGTAATAGATCCTTTACAAAATAAAATAAAATAAAATAAAATAATTATAATAGTTATTCATTTATCGTCTTGTACACAGGAATTGGTAGCCCTCGACTTACCCGAGGCTATGATAAAAGTACTCGATAAATAAGGGTTAGTTTTTGTGCACATTGCATGAAAAACAGTGGGATTTAGACAATGGAACATCAGGATCACTGGATTCCAATGAAGAAAAGTGGGATTTTCAAAACAATGAAAAGACAATGGAACATTCTGATCGCTGATCAAATTATATTTTGCTTTGCTATGTTTGAATGTAAAAGAGGCCATATACCTGCCGTTTGTTGAATAGATTTAGACACTTTTGACTTCCTTGCGTCGAATTGTGGCCTGTCAGATAGTTTACCCGAGGCAGAATGGTTAACTATAGCCCTTTGTTTAACCGTAGCAGTTTCTGTAATAGCAGGCATAGCAGATTGCTTCACCGTTGCAAAGTCTTTAACTGTTGCAGTCTTTCGTGTAACAGGACCTTTGCGTTCCATGACATTGCTTGCAGAGTTTTTCTCTTGAAGTATCGTTGGTTTAGTGTCAGTCTTAGATTTCATACCAAATCTTGCAATTCCTTCGCCTTTCTTAAGAAATGTTCTTTTGGTAGCGATGGTAGGTTTATGTCGCCTTGGTTCCTCATGTTTCTGATTTTGCTGTTGTGACAAAGAGGGAGGAACTACTAAAGTACTGAATCCTTTATATTAGACTAAACTTTATTGATAAAACTTCGATACTCATCCTTTCAGAATTATTTTGAATACTGTAAGTGGCTGTGTTAATAAAGTAGGCGGCTAGGAGTCTTAAAGTCATCCAAAATTAACTAGTGTATGTTGATTAGATAGCAACACAACTCAGCTCTGCAACCAAACTATAATGTATCACTACTATCATTCTTCACTACAAGAAAACTTCAAGACTTAAGATGATATCATGGCAAATACCTAAATCAGTTTTACGAAATAGTACATGATGCTTTCGAAAATAACCAGGCTATAAAGTAGACCAGGTTGAGGAAAAATGACCAATGTAACCAAACTACCAAAGCCTAGTTCAGACGCAAACCATGGCAGCTAAATGGCTTAATTAAATGATTACCTCTGCTCGCAATTGCTGATTCAGCAGTTCTTCAAAGGTTCTTGTCTGAACACCTAACAGAATATAGCAAACAACAAAATTTTATATAGATCACTTTTTTAACATTTTTAACATTATACTTTAAATTATGTACATATTTCCTATTTTAGTCCTATTTTAAATACATGGCCATCTGAAAATCAACCTTTTTATTTTTTCAAAAATTTATTATAACTTTTAGATATTTTAGGGCTATGGTCGAGATGTTACCGTGTGTAAATAATTGTAAATAATAATAATAATAATAACAGGCTGTACCAGCCTGTGCTGAGACAATAACACCAGAAAGCTGCGGAGTCCAACAAAGTACGTTTTAGTTGTATTTTTCAGGTAGTTGAAACCCTTTCAATCTGCAACAATTACCTTTTTGCTACCTCGCTTTGCAAGTTAACTAAACTATATTTATTTTAATACTTACCCAAGCCTGGCTTAATTGGAGCATCGTCAAATGAAGGCTTTGAATTAACATCACGATCAGGACTCTACAGAAAAGTCAGGATTATTCATTTGGGGAATTAATGAGCAAGAATCTTCATACCTTCCCTCCAGTGAGTTTTAAAATACAAATTGTTGGAAATTTTGAGAATGAGGAATGAGTACCTGTCCACCCATGTCTTCATCATGATCATCAATATCCTGACCATCATCATCCTGATCATTATCATCAAAACCATGATCATCATTATCCCGATCAATATCATCATCATCAGTACTATGATCATCATCATCCTGATCAATATCATCATTATCATCAATACCATGATCATCATCATCCTGACCAATGTCACTGTTGCCAACAACATCACAATCATTATTGGCAACATCATCACCATCATCATGAACCAAAGTATTATTGTTATCAACTCCATGATCAAAACTAAACAATCAAAGAAAAAATACTAGAGGGCACTCGGAGACAGCATATCACCACCAACCATATTTTACTGAGTGTGGAGAGATGACAGATAGTTGTTGGGGACAAAAGGTTTGGTGTGGTATCGTATGTAACACTGCAGTAGGGGGAGCATTCTCCCCAAGAAAAATTTTCCATCCCTAGGACTGCATTTTGTGTGTTTTCTGGAGCATATGCAGATTCTTGGATATACAGTGTTACATTATATTGTAGATAGACTGAATTGCCAGTTAAGTATTATTGCATGGTATGTTTATGTAAATACCACAACAAGCCTTCCAACAACTCAAATCTTTTGGGTCTGGAAAATTTTTAAAATCTAAGGTATTTACAACTTAATGTTTAGCATTTTTAAAAAGACATTGAATCATTTGAAGATAAAAGACATGACATTTTAAGATTCGCAAAGCAAGGTTCAGTTACTAGAATATCAAACCTCCCTAATTCTAAATTCCTTTTTTCTTCAATGTTTTGCTCATATTTTAGAGAAAAGGACTTTGACTGGGGGGGGGGGGCAAAATGGCAGGCACAGATTTTCTGGGTGTGTGAGGGTGCGCACCCTCCCAGAAATGATTTGCAATCCCCAAAGGCATTTGGCACCCCCGCAAATTACATATATTTTGATTTGATAGTTTCATATTTGATTATTCTTACTACTAAATTTGTAAAATTACCAATATTATGGTCTCAGATCTCGCCATGCAGGCCTAGAAAACAAATTTTGTTAAACTTTTTCCTTGGCCTTTCCGGGCGTTGCCACCACGCCCCGGCCAAAGCAAGCAGCAGCACCCCCCAGATATTTATCCACCACCCCCCTCGAACAAAAATATGAAAATCCGTCTCTGCAAAATGGTTAACGGGGGGGGGGGGCACTATGGAGCTTGGGAGGGCTTTGGCCCTGGATTGCTCACATACCCGAGGTCATCTCCATCATCACTGGCCTCGGATACTTCTGATGGTGTATCTTCAATTTGTCGTATTCCTTCGATACCACCAATACTACCACCATCAGATTCTGTAAACTGGGACAGGTCCTCGTCACTAGCTGATGGTAGCTGCAGTTTCTGGGTAAGTAACATCTGGTTCTGGGGTTTGATGGCAGGTGAAACATAGGAAGCATTCTAAAATTAATACTTAAATTTATCCATATGTCATACTTAACCCTTTAATTTAAAGGCCGTTTTCCACTAGGCGGAATTTTCCGCGCGGAACAGAATTTCGCTCTGTCTTTTCTAATTAGTTCCACCCGAGAAATTCCGCCTAGTGGAAAACGGCCTTAAGTGGCAATGCAGCGAACGTAGCCTAATGCACTGTACTTTACTATTTTACTATGTCTATAACACCCAACAATTTTACTTGTCAAGAATTCTTTCAATGTCACATATTTGCGATGAAAAGTGTTCAAAACCTAAAATCTTTTTGGCATCCCTCTCAAAATTACTTTGTTCATAGCTTTATTTTGTAGTTTACACAGTTAGCGACCTTTTCAAATGTATCTGGCGGTTGAGACACACAAAAGAATAGTTAAATATTGTCAATTTAAACCCTTTTTAAAAGTGGTAATGCACCCTACTTTATTATTTTACTCTGTCTAACACCAGACGATTTTACTCATCAGGGAGGGAGTGCTGCCACTCAATTGGTTAAATACAATTATCATTGATGCTGTAAAATTGACACCATATTTATACAGCAATAAAAAGAAAACTTTACTGAAATTCAGACTGCATTTTCTCTTTGGAGTACCATCTAAAATCTTTTCATTTTAGCATAATTTTACAGATAAAACACTTATTTAACATACCTTTCAAGTTTGTTTGCCACTTGAGAAACTTATCAAAATTTTAAAAATTGAATTATAGTCATAACCAAGTGGAAACGATTTGGTATATCTGGCAAAACACTACCCAGCACAACCCTACATAGTACCACCCTTGACCAGGGCCGCCCAGAGGTTGGCGGGGGCCCGGGGCAAATTTTTTTGGGGGGGCCCCTATCTAAAAAAAAATTCCGGATAACAACCTCCCCCCCCCACTTTTCGGTCAGTGTACCATTTTAGGGGTAAAAAATTTTTTCTGGATTACAAAATTTTGCCAGACGAGCACTTTGCAAATGCTTTCGAGGGACTTTATCTCATTTTTTTATGCCAAAATTCGGTACTTAGCCCAAGAAAAAAACAGATATCTTGTCCTTTGCGCGGAAATATTTAACACACAAAAAAGGCTGGGGCCCTACAAAAATTTTTCAGGGCCCCCCAGCAACTTGGGGCCCGGGGCAATTTGCCCCCTTTGCCCCCCCCCCCCCCTCTGGGCGGCCCTGCCCTTGACATAAAACCTGAAAGAAGACATTTTACCCGGTTTGATGATGTAGCTTTAAAATGTTGTGGTGATAAAAGAATAGTTCTTGTTGGTGGATTAAACCCAGACACAATTGCACCACCTTGGAACATAGCCACATTCTCACTTGGTTGTGCACCAACGACAGGCCTAGACGATGTTCCGCTATGAAAACCAGCAGGTTTGACCTGGTATGATGGGCTACCATCAATTATCATGTCATTATTCTCAAGGATTTTTCTCTGGTATTCTTGAACAGCATGAAGTCTTCTCTCTTTGTCGCGAAGTAGACTTAATTGTTTTTCTTTGTCTTGTAGCAAATGTTCCTCTTTCTGCTGCCTCCATTGTTGTAGTTGCTTGAGTTTCTCCAGCAAGTCTCCTTGAGTTCTGCGAAGCAACAAGTCTTCACCTAAAGACAGTATACAAGAAGCAAATTGTATCAGAGATAAGCTGCTTAATGGACTATTTGCATTATAGACTAAATTTTGATCTAAACAAGTCTAGACAGAAATTTCATCACAGCTTGAAAGAGCAAAAATTAGTAATATTCCAAAGTTTCGTCGCGAAATGTTGTAAAATGCGGATATAGCCTTGCAAAGTTTGCCGTTTTTCAGTCATTTTCTATTACAAACGGGAAATTGACAGCCCCACAGTGTATTGGGCTATCAATTTCCCGTGCGTAATGCAAAATGACGGAATATTACTAATTTTGTGATGCTCTTTCAAGCTGTGATGAAATTTTTGTCTAGACTTGTTTAGATCAAAATTTTGTCTATTACACAAGTGGTCCATTGGTTTTATGTGTAAATATCAGAATTTATTTTTAAGCATCTCACTCAATAGATTTAAATGTTGAAAGGAAGATTTAGTCACAGAATAGACCTTACAAAAGGCCGACTTCTTTGTTTCGCCTATGATTTTGGCGTAACCGTCGCCATGTTCCTAGCCAATGCGCTTACGGCTATTTTGGCATTTTGCTACTCTTTAAAGGTGATCTACAGTCCGATCTGCACATGTGCACAAAGGAGCCCACTTTTTATGATACAAACAGTTTAACTATGTTTTGGGTTATTGCAAAGCCTGATTGTTGTTTCTTGATCATTTATTATACTCTAGAAGCTTGAAAATATAAATAGTTGTCGAATAAAGCTCAATATTTTGGACGTAAAAATGTAAACAAAGGCTTTGTTTACATACGGACTGTAGATCGCCTTTAAGCAATGTCAGAGGCATTCACCCCCCTGACAACATTCAAAATGGCAGACATTCAGGGGGTAAATGCCTCTTGTAAGCACACTGGCTAGGAACATGGCAACAGTATGTTGATAACAAACCATTGCAAATCATGGCATGGCAGTGGTTACACTTTTCTGCCTGAATCGGCTTTCTGTTCGGAAATCAACTTTTTTAATATTGGCTCCTCTGTATTATTTAATGCCTGTATATTCCTAACTCTTACCTTCATTTCTCGTGTCCACGACTTGGGAGATTCTTTCCATCCTGTCAACAATATCTTACACTCGATATAAAACCAAAACCAAACAGAATTGATTCTGCACGTTAAAACTTGATCATTTTATCTCGCCCATTATTTGGGCAAAAGGTCGTATTAGCGAAACTAGCTACATAAGTAAGTAAAGTACTTCTTTTAAGGAAGGCCCATTACCAGTGAACAAGCATAGTCAATGTTTAAAGCTGTTGATAAAATTTAAATGGACAATTGAGCATCCATTTAACAATTTTGAGCATCTTTGCTGCACATGTTTTCCATTTTCCTTGCGCAAAACCACATAAAAGAACTATTTATAATGTTAACCAGTGCTTCTATTATTTCCAAAGACAGATGAGTGTGAATTCTAGTGTAATTCCAGAGATTTGCGGAAAAATGTTTAGTTTGAAATTTTGCTCCAAATATTTTAAGCTTCAATTTCTCCCGCCATTTTGCGCGTTATTCAAAAAGACTGGAACTAGTTGTTGAGCTTGCTACATAACTGGAGTTGTATATCTACAATCAATAGACAGTTTCATCAAAAGCCTCGCTATCATAATGGTAATGCATTTTGGTCCAGCCAGAGAAAACACTGAAAGAGTATTTTTCAAAATATTTTTCGAAAATACATGTACATGTACGGCAAAACCGCAGAAAGATAACATGAAACGCCAACAGACCAACACAGTCTCCGGGATAAATAGATGAATAGCATAATTTGTCAAAAGTGTACAAATAGATGGTAATCATCTATCTAGCCCATAGATATCTGATATCTATGATCTAGCCTAGGAGAAACCTGACCCTATAAACCAACCCCAACTATAACCCTAATCTAATCTTAATCTAACCCTAATTTAATCTTAATCGGACACTAATATAAACTTGATGACCTTTTTTTAAATTACCCACAATAGCATATATATGTATATAATATGCATATATACACACGCGTAAAAACGCACAAGTTGTTACAGGTCTGCAAACAATTGCAAGTTGTTACAAATCTGTTCACAAGTTGTTCGGACAACTAGTATGTTCGCACTGCTTGTTCCCAGTTGTTGTAACAAGTTTGGAGCTGTTAACAACTCGTCACAAGCTTGATTGCATTATCAGACTTGTTACAAGGTTGTTCTAACAAGTCTGATACAACCATGCTATAACAAGAATGTTACAAGGTTGACGATACAAAGTACCGGTTGTAACAATATTGTTATATGACGACTGTATCGAACTTGTTGAAACAATCTTGCAACAAGTCTGATAGTATCAACAAGCTTGTTACAAGTTGTTAACAACTTGTTCCAAACTTGTTGACAACTTGAGACAAGCAGTGCGAACACAACTTGTAGACGGTTTGTTGGCAGATTTGCTACAAAATGTGAGCCACAAGCTAGTCACATGCCAAAAAAATCTCGTTACATGCGTAAAAACGCACAAGTTGTTACAGGTCTGCAAACAAGTTGTTACACATCTGTTCACAAGCTGTCAACAAGTTGTGTTCGTACTGCTTGTTCCCAGTTGTTGTAACAAGTTTGAAACAAGCTGTTAACAACTTGTAACAAGCATGATGGCATTATCAGACTTGTCACAAGGTTGTTCTAACAAGTCTGATACAATCATGATATAACAAGAATGTTACAAGATTGATGACACAAGTTTGTAACAATATTGTTATGTCATGACTGTATCGGACTTGTTGGAACAACGTTGCAACAAGTCTGATAATATTAACAAGGTTGTTACAAGTTGTTAAACAGCTTGTTCCAAACTTGTTGACAACTTGTGACAAGCAGTGCGAACACAACTTGTTGATGGCTTGTTGGCAAACTTGCTTACGAGATTGGACACAGGTTTTTTCCAATCCAGAGCATGCCTGTTCGCAGGTTAGGCTTGAACTTATTCATTTCCAGCAACCAAACTGACATTCCTACTCTAATCAAATTAATGGAGAAAAATAGGAAATCGAAAAAGAATCCACTTTAAAATTGAGAAAATAACCTAACGTCAGTTTGATGGTTGGAAATAAGTGAAAACCAACTTATTCCGCGTACTCTTCAATTTTTCAATTCCACATATTTTGCCCCCTTATGCGATTTTAATGACAAATACACCTACTCGTGCCTGTTTTGAATTTAATACAATTAAGTGGGAAGTCAACTTCAAACCGATTCAGACAGTCTGGAAACAGCCTACCACAAAATTAAAATAATTCAAAAAAGGATAAAAATAGGATATCTTATTACAAATCTAAACCTACACATTGAGATAGTCCATAGATAGTCACATACTTTCCGAAAAAGGAAACGAAACCTTTTAAATTACATTTACATAACTATGATAATTTGTTTCTACACCGTAATTTGCAATAAATAAATATTGGTTATAATTTATAATTCCGCTAAGCTAAAAGCTGAGAGGGAAGTAGAGCGTGTTCGAAATTTCAAAAACAGGACAAAGAGTTCCTGTTTCAGAATCACCGTGGCGTTTCCTGATTGGCTATCAAAATTTCGAAATCTCCCAAATACGGTAATTCTAACCATATTTGGTCGTGTGACGTAATTCCGGTTTCCAAACTACGCTCTTTGTGCGAAATTGTGAGTAAATAGCGAGACAGGAAACTTTTGTCTTCAGTGTAGTATAGTATTTTCAGACTGGAAGATTGCTATTGAAAAATACTCTTCCATTTACAACAAAATAACCAAAATGGCACTCATAAATCCAGCTATTCTTCTAGATCCGCCATGCGAACCCGGCTGTCCAAGAAAACGGAGACGTTTAGATAATTTAACTCCTGAAGAGCGTGCGCTTCGAAGGTTTGTAAGAATGTCGCAATAACACTATGAATTCCTTTTGTTAATTTTGTTATTTTCTAATCGCCGTTTGGAATGTTGCAACGCTTGCTCTAATAGAATGTTTCACTAATATTTGATATAGAAAATTGAAGAATCGCGTCGCTGCTCAGACGGCGAGGGACAGAAAGAAGGCTCGAATGACTGAACTAGAAGAATCGTTGGCACTTTTTGAAGAACAGGTTATTATCCGATGCAAAATTATAGTTTAAATTCCTTTAACTTCAGGGTTTTCGGCTTGCAAAAAGACAACATTGAATAGCTAGTTGGAATGTTATTCTTGTTAGGATAGAAAGGGAAACCGCTTGCAATATATGAGTGTAGCAACAGCCAACAATAAAGCTTCTTTATGAGGCTCAGGTTAACATCAAACGAAACTATTTTAAATACTGACATTTAGACTTAGAAAAGACGTATTCATTAAACAGTCTCCTAGAATGCTAGTCTGTTTAGAATAGATAAGAGGAACCTTGACAATATGAACCTCTAATATTAAAAGGATAACTTCGATCACATTATTATGAAGATGTCAATCCATAGTTATTATAATAGTGAGAGATTAAACTACTCTACTTTAAATACTGAAAGAACCACAATATTCTATAACAAATTGGAATGCTACTCTCGTTAGAAAAAGCGGAACCTTTTCTTAGTATTTGCTTCTAGCAACAACTTAACAAAGCTGCTTTATATAATCGTAACAAAACAGAGGCCTTTTATTAGCCATTTATAATCTCCTACTATAAATGTATATTAATATTTGTTAGTGGCACTCTATACACTTCCTTTAATTAAAATCGAAAGAGACTTTGGACAGAAACGAACCATTTGGTATTTAGAAGGCGTATTTAGTGTACATTTTTGAACCAGTTATGAAAAAGATCGCAACCCGAAATGGAACAATTGGAACCTGTAGACTGAATAGCGCATTTGAATACCATTTAAATTGTTCCAGCTGTGTTTTGTCCGAATCTTTTCAAAATCAACATTTCATCAAATTGTTCCGTTTGCCCTGGAAACGCTAAGATGTGGGCTGGTTTATCAAGTGGCTTGCATTCTTTCATTTGACGTACGTTGTCTAGTAGCAACGGAAATATTCCAGTGGCACTTAGCCTATCTAATATTGGCCATGCATAGAAAGAGACCAGCCTAATGATAAGAATTAATAATTTACATCACAACTGTATTATCTTTTGGGTAAAGAGATATAAAGCAATCGGTCTGCATACCAAGTCACACATGATCGGCTGATGACTTTTTATTCGAATTATTATTCTTGCCAATTGACCATTACGATCCTTTAAAAAGGTTTTCATGGATTGAAATTTCGAATGAAAAACTATGTACTAATTTAAGAACTAATTTGCGACTAACATGTATTGGTAATGTTCCATAATATCAAGTCGTAAAACCAAGTTTTCTATACGCTTATGTCTTAACTGTGTTACATCAGCTTTGTATTTGCTCTGCCCCCACAAAAGCATAAATTTATAAACCGAATTCTAAACACCTACACAATACATATTTGTCTTTAATTGCAGAATAAAAAATTAATGAAAGAAAACAAGGATTTAAAAGTACGTGCATCGACACTGGAAACAGAAAACACGGATCTCAAGTCACGTCTGGGACTCACACCGCCATCATCACCCACATCAAGCGAGGACACTACACCCTCCCCCCTACCCTCCCCACCTCACTCCCCCTGTCTGGATGAACCAACAGGAATTGTGGTGAAGCAAGAAAAGGAATCATCTGAGTATGCAGAACTCAACGTTTCTCAGCAGAAGGAACACTCTCCGATTCCCTTTCTTTCTCTACTCACGACTACTGTGCTTCTCCATCTCCTAAGGTAGTGTATACCGAATTGCTTAGTTTTATACTTTTATTTTTTTGGAGGTAGTCAATCTTCGAATGGAGTTTAGTCTAGGCTAGCCTGTGCTGCACAGGCTGTCAAAACTGATAAGGCTTAGGGGCGGTTTACTTATCCTGCTTTGTCGGGACGAGATGTGAGGCGGAATGATTTTCGATCATGTATTGAAATAAGTTTATGCAGTGAAATCAGTAAAAGTGTAAAACTACATCATTTTTCTCGCGTGGTAGATTTTAGTATAGTGAAAACGAAAGGTTGTTCAAGACTTCAAGCAGCAATAATAATCTTCTTGAAGCGCGAGATATTCTCGACAACATTTGTGTTCTTTTACCGGCGCTTGATAAAAACATAAAGGAGGTCAAGAAGAAACGACGTTTTTGTCAAGACGAACGTCAGATTGCCGATGTCAGTTTGTGGCAATCTTCAACATATATGACAAAACATAAAATTTTTATTATTAAAGTTTTTAATAATAGGAGAGGACTCTTACTGGATCATAGATATATGGCTTAATTAAGCTCACTAGCTATAGTCTGTGTAACTTTCGATGAAGGTCTAACTGCAAGGTCAGACTGTTTGTTTCATCATACAGGAAGCTAGCAGTGCCAGTGGGCAGTAGAAATTTGATATTACTGTAAATATCACAGGAAGTTATTAATTATCAAAAATGATAATTAAAAGTTCCTTTTCATAACACAAGTAAACGGACGTTCAAAGTCCCAAAGACATGAAAAGGAACACGTATAGGCTATTTTTAAGCACAAATTGGGTCTGTCCTTCTGTTTAGTAACATGGTACAACCACTCAACAAGCATTTGACTTTGTACTTTGAAATGTTTACACTGCTTCGACGCGCACTGATCCATTTAAATGACGATTATTTTCCGACCTTCACACTAAAATGGAATGTGTCATACAAGGCCGGTGAAATGACAATGTTTTTAAAAGCACTTAGAGATTTGAGGAAAATTCTGAAACGATTATGTAAAGACTAAAGTCCTTATTAGTTCATTCTTTGCCAACAGAAAGAGATTATTACTCAATGCCTTAAGTCTGTTAAGAGTTAAGTAAGGCTGGTTTAATTTACCCTATCAAAGTTTCTTGTGATCACAGACACAGTATGATATTTGCATGGGTAAAGTCTAAGTTTTGAAGGATTTTAATATGAGAAAGGTTTGTGGAAACTGACTCGGTGTTTACCGTACACTAAGTCAGTTTCCACAAACATTTCCTACAAATTCTTCAAAACTTAGAATTTTACTTATTGTAAAAGGCTTTAGATATTGAAGCATGTACAATTTAAAGTTACGCAAAGTCATTATTTTTTTCTCCATTTCAGTCTGATGAGCTACTCAGCTTTCTTGAAGATTACAAGCCATGCAACCCAGACGAGTTCATCAGCATCAAACAAGAGCAAGAAGATGTTCTCGTCGTCTGTGCAGGAGAGCCAGAAATCTCTGAGCTCAAACAAGAACGACGAGAAACAAAACTTCCAGAAGAAATGGGGAAAGACCCAAAATGCTTGGAATCCACCGGCGGAGAATTTATGACCACGGTTGAACTTGACAAAGCAATTGAAAATTACGCAGCTGGGCCAAGTATGAATGAGAGTATGTGGTGGGAAGAGTCGTTCCCGGAATTATTTCCTACACTAGCGTGAGGACAGCACTGTATACTAAATTATTATTGGTGGAGAATGAACGTTGTTTACTGAGACAGAATTTCATTGGCTGACAAGCTCTGATGACGAATTTCATTGGTTACCAAGCTCAAACAATTTCATTGGTTGGTAACCTTTAAAATATGAATTTCATTGGTTGGCAAGATAAGAGAGAACTTCCACGGTTGACAAGCTGAGAACTTGAAAATTACTGCTAACCAATCGCAGAAGACATGTTCTTGAACTAAATTATTATGCAATGAAATTGCTGTTGTACAAAGACCAGGAAATATATGCAAGATGCGAATTATGGATCAAACATGATTGTATATATGGTCATCCCATGACTGTATCAAATTGACTGTACACTAGTACATTGTTCAGGTACTAAATGCTGTTCTCCAATTCAACCTGGTATCACCAAGCAGATCAGAAAACTTATTTTTACTGCTTGAATGGGTTGGACAAGAGAATCCGTAGTTTGGTGCCTTTGGACACTTGAAATAATAGCACTACATACATTACACAATCAAATATACATAAAAATTTTAAAAAGACGCAATCCTGTATCCTAGCAACTGAACTTGCATCGAATTGTTGTAAATAAGAATTATTGGTGATGCCACCATCACCATGGAGACACTATGTATGATGTCATTGTAGGTAAACTGTAATTCCCTGCACCATATACCCACCCGATGTGCAGGTTATACTAGTGTAGGAAATAATTGTAATGAATTGTAGTAATTTAATAGAAATACATACTTGGCCTAGTTGTGTAGTAAAAATTGTGTGTCTAATTTATTGCAAGCCTAATTCACGGTAGAGGATGGATTTTTTGGTAATCGTTCCATATTTCGCGCACCAATAGAGTAAACGCTATGTAATGTATATTATAGTGTACTGCAAAGTCAACTGGATACCTCCATATACTTATATACACACCCTAACCTTAAACCTAACCCCTAACTTATATTGGTGCGAGAAACATGGAACGATAACCGTTTTTTTGTCCTCCCCTACCCCCATCATATATCACATGCTACACAGGCTGTAGTGGCCTGTAGTGCCAATGGTTCTCGGAACAAATCATGCATGAAATTTTTCTGAAAGCTCATCTAAAGGCCCGTTTCCACTCAAGAAAATTTTCCGAAAATATCATTGTCAAAATTTTTTCCGACGGAAAATTTGTGTCGGCCAATCACATTTTACAAAATTTTTTTTCTGCGGAAAATTTTTCTGAGTGGAAATGGGCCTTAATGCCGTATTCATACACATAGATGTCGGTAAAATTTTTTTTCCTGATTAAAATTTCCTCCTCCCCGTCGCCACTTTTTTTCGGACATGAACCAAAAAATTTTCTGGACATATACAAGAAAGGGGCTGAAAAACATTTTTCCCGACATATAACAAAAAAGTTTTCCGGACATACATTTTTTAAACAAAATTTCAAACACTCAATAATTCATAAGCTTATTGGCAAATCATGTCAACCATAATATGTCACGTGCAGTGGCTTTAAACCTGATAAAACACTCCTAATTAGTATTATTTATATAAAGAATACTAATAAGGCAGTATCTATTCCTTAATTATCAAAAATTTTCCAGAAAAATTCGGGGGGGGGCTAAAGCCCCCCTAGCCCCCCCCCACCCTGTTCCGCCGCCACTGTAACGCAGGCAAGTTTGACTCAGTAAATATACTGCCCAGATAGTTCTAACTGACAGACGATCCGTTATTAATTATGGTTGGTTATTTTCAGCTTTTCAATAACAGGAATTCTGGTTCGTTACAACATCCCTTTAACATTACGTTGCTTTTATAAAAATGACGTATTTGCATTTACGTGACTCACGCAGATTCCGGTAATCGGAAACCAAATCAACGTAATCATGACGTCATTTGCGTTTTTTAGTTTATTGGAAAATTCTTGTTCCAAAAATAATTTAAGGCTGTTATTTTTAACGGCCAGTTGTCGAGCTCTAATCACAAGTTCATGTATTTATATACTAGCCTACTAGGGTAAGTGGTTAGCGCACTTGCCTTTCACCTCTGAGGCCGCAGGTTCAAGCCTCAGTGAAGAACTTTCTCAATGCGATTCAAATGAAAAGAGTAAAAGTCAGACTAGTCCTTAGTGTGAAAAGAGTAAAAGTCAGACTAGTCCTTAGTGTGAAAAGAGTAAAAGTCAGACTAGTCCCTAGTCCTCTGTGCACGCTAGAAACGCGCAATAGGCGTACTAAGAGGCCTAGGGACTAGGCTGAGTAAAAGTCAACGCTCTGCCGAAAGTCGTGGGTTTTCTCCGGGTACTCCGTGTTTCCTCCCACAGGGAAAGTTGACAGGGTGGGTTAGGCACATTGGTAAAGGGGCAGATCACTAATGAGGTATGGACTAATAACGGCTGCTTTTAAGCAAAAAAAAAGCGCCATCGCAGTCTACCTCGGTCTGCTCTAACGTAACCAGTCACTGAAAAACCCTGATATTAAGGGAGTGTGCTGAGTAATATATGTATGTATGTACTATTTAATAAACGAGCAAAAGTGTTTTATTAGGTTTAAAGCCACGAGCGCGCAGCGCGAGTGGCTTTAGACCTAATAAAACACGACCTGCGAGTTTATTAAACGGCTTCAAACACGACTACAAATTCAATAGATATACTGCCTTATTAGTATTCGTTATATAAAGAATACTAATGAGGACACGACTACAATAGATACTGCCTTATTAGTATTCTTTATATAAAGAATACTAATTAGGAGTGTTTTATCAGGTTTAAAGCCACTGCACGTGACATATTATGGTTGACATGATTTGCCAATAAGCTTATGAATTATTAATGATGTTTGAAGTATATGTAGGGTACTGCCACGTATAGGTTATGGGTAAATATCAAGATTTTTGTGGCATCTCGCTCGAATGAATAAAATTTGAGATGGAATTTCCATCTACAATACCCAGGCACCAGAACAAATTCAAGTCCACTGTTTAATTTTATCCAATTGTGATGTTTGTGACGTTACTCTGAGTGTATATCCACACCGGGCAAGCTTGAAAATATGCCTGGTCACGATGGGAATCGAACCTACGACCTTTGGAATACTAGCCCAATGCTCTGCCAACTGAGCTACGCGGTCAGGTCGGTTCGAGAACGTGATATTTCGGAACAGAATCTAGTTCCTTCGATATCAAAGTAATCTAATAGTATGATTAAGAAGGAACTAGATTCTGTTCCGAAATATCACATACTCGAACCGACCTGACCGCGTAGCTCAGTTGGCAGAGCATTGGGCTAGTATTCCAAAGGTCGTAGGTTCGATTCCCACCGTGGGCAGGCATATTTTTCAAGCCTGCCAGGTGTGGATATACACTCAGAGTAACATCACAAGCATAATTGTTCAGGCAGCTCTGACACAAAGCATGGTAACTCATTGACAGCAACCTGTACTAGACCCCTTTTTGAGAAAACATACAAATTGTCAGCTATATTAAATTAATGAAATATTAGAAACATTGAAAATTAAATTTTCCACAAAAATGTCCAATCCTGTTCGATTTCCTGTGTGTTACTTTGGGTTTCGTGTGTACAATACAGGATAACGATATACCTCATTCATAAATGTTCTTGTTTAACCCAGTGTGCTCTCGTTATCCCCAGAAATTGAGGGTAATTGACCACCAATAAGACCATGTGCTGTGTTGAAGAGATTGATTGGTGATGATCCGTCTGTAATTAAGGTTGACTTGAGGCCAAGAGATTGGAGCAGTTTCACCTTAAATCAATAAAGAACAGTTTAGGAGATATGGTAGTTAGGCTAGAAGGGTACGGTATGGTATGTGGTATGGTGTGGTATAATGTGGTATGGTATGGTATGGTATGGTATGGTATGGTATGGTATGGTATGGTATGATATGGTGTGGAATGTTATTCATTGGTATGGTATGGTATGGTATGGTATGGTATGGTATGGTATGGTATGGTATGGTATGGTATGGTATGGAGTGGTATGGTGTGGTATGGTACTGTAACAGTTCCTTTGCATAATGTCACAAATATGTCAATATGTGCACAAGTGACTGGGTGGCATGGAGAACAGTGACATTTCCGAAACGATGAAATTAATATTTTCCAAACTCGAGCCGAAGGCGAAAGGTTGTATATCTGATACAACACGGACGCGAATGTTGTAAATGGCTTATGAAACGTCTTGATGAGAACATTCGTATTCTTCAACAATTTAAAATAAATGAATGATATTTGGTGAGAAAATTAAACTTAAACTTAAAGTTTATGTAAATCAGCATGATTTCTGTATCAGATATACAAACTCCTTCACACTCATGATTTCTTTTGTGTTTTCTTCATGAATTATTAATGAGTTTCACAAGGTATGACATATGGTATGGTGGTAGGGTAGGTATGGTATGATAGGGTAGGAGGGTAGGGTAGGGCAAGCCAAGGAAGGCAAGGCCACCCACCTGCATCTGAGGACCAGCATTAGCAATGGCTTTGATAGTGTCTGGTCCGATCGCCTTCACCATATTCTCAAATTTCTCAATTTCAATGCCGCTCATTTGTTTGGCCTTGCTGATTTCCATCTCATCTCGTATTTTATTATTTTTGATTTCTGATTCAACAACCTTTGTGGTACGTTCCAGTTCTGAGTCCTAAAAAGGGTAGAAAAAATGTAAATTAATTCTAATTTAAGGTTTTAGTGTTATAGATAACCGATCTCTACGTCCCATGAAAATACCTATAGCAAAGCCAAAGGGACATCCAACTCAGGGGCGTGGTGACTGGGGGGTCTTGGGGGGGGGGCCAATAATTCTGAACTTTGAAAAGTTGGTCAAAATTTTTGAAAAGTTGGTCAAAATTTTTGAAAAGTTGGTCAAAGGAATTATTTAAATATTAAACGAAATTTTATATTATTTACAAAAATTTTAGAAAATCCAAAAAATGTTCAGAATTTTAGAAAAAGTTCTTTGATAAACGGAGAAAATTTGTCCGAAAAAATTTTAATGTCGCGAAAAATGCGATAGGTCCGGAAAAATTTTTTTACCCCTAAAGTGGTACACTGACCGAAAATGTTTTGGCGACGGGGGGGGGGTAAAATGGTACACTGACCGAAAAT